ACCCACCACACACATACATGATGGATGGACCTGGGGAAAGAGAGTGTCCTCCTGGAGCGTCAGAGTTTTCATCTTTAAAAATAGTCCTTCCTCCTCATGATCTCACCACAGAAACTTTTGGAGCTATATGGTAGGGAATGTGACAGTTCTTTAAAAGGAAGTATGCGAAATCCACACAAGGCAGTAACATTGTAATATCACTGTTTATAACTGTGGCTCCAGGGACCCAGCCATGAGGCTACCATCTTGCTCCATCTCCCTGGGCCATTGGTCTGGGAGCGGAAGAATGCAAGGCACTGGAGAGGAAAGGGTCCACACTGCCCAGGAGCCTGGCGGGATCACTCAGAAACACACTCAACCTTGGGAGAAACACACAGCGAAAAATCCCACCACTCCCATTGCCCTTTCCTTTCTCTAAGCGTTTCCAACAGACAGCAACATGTACACAATTCTAAGGCTTCATCAGGTAGAAGGGGGTTCTGGTGTGGCCCTCAGCTAGCTCTCCACAGTGTGCATGAACAGCAAGGTCCCCCAACAAAGGGCACCAGGCATTCATTCCCTTATAGATTCTGTTTTCAGGTTACGTGCAATGACAGGACAGTTGCTAATCACCACCAAGACGGGGCCGTCCCGGAAGCATTCTGAGAAAGACACGCTGGTTCTGTGAGCTCTGAAGCACCCTTAGTCTGTCCTGCCTGGAGGATCAATGTGGCCGGAGGACGAGAAAGACAAAAGAGGATAGACGGCTGAACCAGTCATTCCTGCCGTGGTCAAGTTGTCCTTTCTTGGAGGGAGGAGGAAGATGGGAGGGAGCTAAGAGGCTGCAAGACAACAAGGAGACCCCGCAAAGAGCTTCAGAGGGGCCACGAAGAATGATCTCAAGCAGTATTAGCTGCTCCATGGCATGATACTGTCCCCGTTGGGTGTTCCCTGCGCTCTGTACCCCTCATGCCCTAACACCATCAGAACAGGAGGAAGGGTGCATTTGCTGTCTCTCTCTTCCTACCCATCTTCCCCTCTCCATTTCCTTTTTTTTTTTTTTTTTTTTTTTTTTTTTTTGCTGCTGGGGCTGCAATCTGCCAGTGTGACCCCTGGTGGCTCTGCAGGCAGGAGGGTGAGGAGAGTGGCCCTCATATGAAGCCACAACCCCAATGAAAGAGGCTATTCTGAATCCGGGAGTCACACGGTTGTTGAGTATCAGTCCCTGAGATGTGGCACTGTGGCGCTTCACCTCACCACCACCATCAATGTCATTCTATGGTAACGTGTGTGTGCCACTGTGTGCCAGGGACACAAACACGCACATTCAATATCCCTCCTGCTTGGACCCTTCCCCCGCCCTCCCCTCCTCCCACTGGTCTCCCTGTTGCTCTCAGCTTCCCTGTAAAGAGGTCTTTTTCACACTGAGTTGGATCACAGCATGCTTTGCTCAAAACCCTGCCTGGCTCCCAGGTCCCTCAGAGGGAAGGCCCAAGGCCTCCGGGCCTGACCTGGTCTGGTGGTCACCGCCCCCTCAGCACTCAGCGCTCACTGAGCTTGATTCTCAAGCACACTATATACTCGCGCCTGCTTTGGGCCTTGATGTACCTGCTCCATCTGTTCCAAAGGCTCCAAAACATCCTCCTGCAATTCTGTGCTCAAATGTCGCCTTCTACGTTCAGCCCTGCAACCTGCCCTCCATCTCTTCCCCTGCATTGCACACTGGAGCTGCCTTTCCTGCCTCTGTCTTTTTTTTTTTTTCCTCCATAACACTATCACCTCCTTACATACTAGATAATTTACATACTTACTATTTTTTACTGTTTAGCCTGCCCCACCTTGACAGCCAGTGTGGCTGCAGGACAGGAAACACAAAAGAACAATGATGGCTGACCCAATGCTTCCCGTCTTTCCTGGCCCCATGATATGGTTTGGCTCTGTCCCTATCCAAATCTCATCTTGAATTGTAGCTCCTATAATTCCCAGTGTTGTGGGAGAGACCTGGTGGGAGATAATTGAATCATGGGGACAGTTTTCCACATCCTGTTCTCATGGTAGTGAATAAGCCTCACGAGATCTGATGGTTTTATAAGGGGAAATCCCTTTTGCTTGGTTCTCATTCTCTATTGCCTGCCACCATGTAAGACGTGCCTTTTGCCTTCTGCCGTGATTGTGAGGCCTCCCCAGCCGTGTGGAAACGTGAGTCCATTAAACCTCTTTTTCTTTATAAATTACCCATTCTCAGGTATGTCTGTATCCGCAGCATGGAAATAGACTCCTATACCCCATTAGAAGTCAAGCTCCATGCCAGCAGGACGGAGCCTGTTTTGTGCAGTGCCTGTTCTCTGCCTAGAGCAGTCCCAGCGAATAGTGAGTGTCCTGTAAATATCTATTAGGTGAGTGAATGAATGAATGAACTGATGAACAAGTGAAGGGTGGAATTGCTGCCACTCACAGGGAGGGGGCTATGCATCTTATGGAATGAGCTGGTCTTCAGGATGGGGTTCCCTGGGGAGCGGGGGAGAGGGCTGGCAAAGGCAGAAGGTGCTGCTTCCAGAAAGGCAGGCCCGCAGTTTGCCTGGAAATCCCCTTGGCATCACTCATCAACCCCCACCCCAATACACATCCAATCCCAAACAGTAGCTGAAGAGTAACTTCAACCATAGACTCTCTTTCCAGGCCCACGCTCCCACCGGTGAGTGCATGCCGTCATCTGGGCCCCTACTGCATGCTCCTTGGATCCCAGGATGACCAGTAAAGAAAGGATGATGGGGGATGAAAGAGATCCCCTCTTACCCTCATCCCACTCTCAATGCACTAGCTGGGAAGGCAGAGCCAGCACTGCAGGTGAAGCTCTGAAGGTGAGATGGTGGGCAGGTAAAGGAGCTGCCAGTTCCACGGTCCCATGGCTGTGGGGTTTTAAGCAGGTGAGGTACACAGATGGTGACACAGGGAGCGGGTGTGCTGAGCATGGTGGCAGGGTGCAGTCGAGTCCAGTCTTGGGGTGGGATACAGACCAGGTGAGCTGGGCTGAAAGGATCCAAATGTGAGTGGGAAGTGATGGGAAGTGAGACGAAGTGTCCAGTGAGATTTGGTTGCTGGGACAATAAACAGAGAGCCATGATGGGTTTTTTCTAATAAGAAAATGCCATGTCCAATGCTGGATTTCAGAAAGAGGCTTAGGGAAGAGACCAATAGGATTACTTTGGGGAGGAAAGACTTGGAGTCCAAAGGCTGGGGCCCCTTGTGGTTATCCCAGCTTGTTCTATGAAAGCCAACACCAGAGGGGTGGCTGGGAGAGGGAGGGGAAGGATCAAATGGAAAATTGCTGTGGAGTCATTGTCAGGACTTAGTATTCTAGTGGGTGGGGGAGTTAAAACCAATGTCCAGCTTCCTTCTACTTGAGCTGCGTGGAATAAGATAAAGATAAATAAGGAAGGGAACTAATAGGCATCCACTATGACCTAGACTTCGGATTTGGTTATTTCATTCAATTCTCAACCTCCCCTGAGGACAGGGTATTAGCATCAGCATCTTACAGATGAGAAAATTGAGGCTTTGTAATTTACCCAAGATCATATCCAGAGCTAGGGAGGCTGTAAAACACAGAAAAAAAACCACTGACATTCATTGTAAATGCATAATACATCCCAGGCACTGAACTGTGTATTCTCCCATTTCACTTCAAAACATGGAAGAGATTATTTTTATTATCTCCATTTTATAAATGTGGAAAGCATAGTTCAGAAAAGTGAAGGTCACCAGCCCCAGGTCACAAAGCAAAGACGCAGTGGAAATGGGATTTGAACCCAGGGCATCCGGGTCTACACTCTACCACCATACTAGACTGATAGTGACAAATTTGCAACATAATCTGTCTAGTTCCAAAAATGTGTTTGCATTGTACAGCAACTCAAGCAGGATTAGCTGCTCCATGGTGTAATGTCCCCATTGGGTGTTCCCTGCACTCTGTACCCCTCATGCCCTAACACCATCAGAACAGAAGGAAGGGTGCATTTGCTCTCTCTCCTACCCCTTTTCCCCACTCCCTTTCATTTCCTTTGTTGTTGTTGTTGTTGTTGTTGTTGTTGTTGTTGCTGCTGCTGCTGCTGGGCCTGCAATCTGCCAGTATGACCCCTGGTGGCTCTGTAGGCAGCAGGGACAACCCTCTCCCAGGCTTCATACTACTTGAGATGATTTGCTTCCAATCAAATCTGACCACGTTCTGAGCTTCCAGCTTAGTACTTACGACTGAGACAACCAGAGCTGTAACCGCTGTGGATGGTGGAATCTAGACAACCCTGGGCAAACCCAGCCCTTGCAGTAGGAGAGCGGCCCCTTGTTCCACATCCTGTTTTATTGGGAGCAGACTTCAGTTGGCAGCATGCCAGAAAGCCCTGATATCCCATTTAACCCCATGGACAGTCTCTGTGTTTCTGAAGGCCAGCAGGTGCAATCCACCTGTTTATCTCCTGGACCCGCAGGCTTTGAGTCACCTGCCTCATGTTCTCCCTGCAAACTACAAGACCTCTGTGCCCTGCAGTAGACTCAGTGTGCTCAGGGCAGGTAGCAGGACCTGTTGCATGGTGCCCCGGGGAGCTGGGAAAATTCACAGTCACTCGAAACAGCAATAGATCCCAGCAATAGTCCAGGCCTGGCTTCCTCACTCGTTAACTGTGTGACCTTGGGCAAGTGACTGAACTTCAGTCTCCCCATCTGTAGGTTGGGCATAGCAGGACCTGACGGCTAGAGTTGTAAGAGGTGAAAATGAGTTGATTCAAGTAAAAGCCAGGAACACAGAGCCTGGCCTGAATTAATTGTGATGACTGTTTGTACTTATTAGCCCGTGTCTCTGGGTCTCTCCGATGGCTAACTGCAAAGCTCCTGCCTGCCAACTGCTGCTCTGAGCTGGGGGCTTTAGGGATGTCTGGGCAAAGAGTTGCACTGAAGAAGGAGCAAAACCTCGAAGCAAGAAGAGCCACAGGGAGGCAGCTGTACTATGACTGTCAAGAGCAACTCACCTCTTTCTTGTCTTTCCTGGTACAAAGCACCCACCGAGTCAGCCAGAAACCTCTGATTCCGCCTAGAAAAATAAGAGAAGAGTTACACCAGGAAACAAGATAATGAAACTCATCTTGAAGCTGAAATGTGGACGGAGTGGTTCCTCAGTACCAGACAGCTCCCCACAAGCACATAAGAGTTTAATAGCTGTTTATTCTTCCATATAGACTAAAACTACATTCATCAGAAAAAGGGGAGTAATTCATTTCCTATGCCAATTACGGATACACCAAACTGAAGAATATTTTCAAAGAAATACAGCTTATTATGATCACAAACTTGACCTAGAATAAACTACGATGTAAATGGATATTTACACTGGATGGTAATTTTTTCAAGTTATAAAAATACTTAAGTTTACAATGGACATTTACTACAAAACTATCTAATGCCACAGTGCCAAGTTGTTCTGTTTTTATTGGGTCTTTTACTCCTATGATCCTATTTCTGAATTTTTATATGTTCTAATTTATTATATGTCTGAATTCACTGAATGGGATGACATATGAGGAGCGTCTAGTACCATGTCTGGTCCCTGTTAAGCACTCAATAAATATCAGCTACTCTATTATTAATTATACGTTCCTGTGTGGGTTTCTCTTTCATTCCACCCATATAATTCCTGAACAAACATACACAGATATCAGCATAGTTTCTGCTGCTAAAATAGATATTCAATCTTTAAACTCAACCTCTGTTCAATCTAATTCCGACACCAGGAAGAGTAGTATTTCAAAAGGTGTTTAAAGATAATCGCCCCATTCTAACTTTCCCCATCATTAGGCTCAAAGAAATCACTCTAGACCCTTAGGTTGGCAAATGAAAACAGAGAGAAGAAAGAAAAAAGGGAAAAAGAATACCATCAGATTTGAAACAGAAAACTTGTAACCTTCACACACAAGAGAAAGGATTGTCTCTGGCTGGTGTTTGTTCTTTTGCTGGGTGTACATTATACATTATCACTCCGGTAGTTTCTGAGTTACTGAGGACAGGGCTGAGCTGGTACCCTGCGGCCAACTCCATCAACCAGCACCTACCACCAGATCAGATTGGAGGTCCCCCTGGGCTCCGGCACCCCCAACCCCCACAGCAGCAATACATGTTTGCTGGGTCTGCCTCCCACTATCACACCCATGAACTTAACCCAGGACCAACCTCGAATGCATAGGCTCTTGAATGCAGGGCAAAGGAGGTTGACAATTTTAGCCCTGATGAATCATGCAACACTTGGGACCTAACTGGCCAATGCTGGACCTACCCTGCAAATGCTAGAAAACTCACCAAAACAGAGCAAGCAAAACTTCACAAGACCCACCAACTCCAACCCTGGCATCTGGAATGGGTTGCTGTTTCTACTTTATACAAAGCCATCCCCATGCGCAACCCATTTTCAGTTTGTTATTAGGTGGAAAGCATCCAATAAACTCATTCAAGCTAAAGCCCACCTGAATGGATGTAGCTTCAGTGTTACCCCTCCATGGGGGATGCACATTTTATCTTGACTCAGTCTTGACTCTTCACCCTGTCCCCGTGAAGCCTAAATTCTGCCAATGTAATAATCGCAGGGATTGGGGAGAGAGAGTAGTGGGACACTGGAGAGGGATCCTTTTGAAATCCTACAGTGCGGAATAGGCGAAAGAGGGGAGGCAGAGGCTTACAACCGAGGCTCTCAGACCTAGCTACTCATGGAAATCCCTGCCCCCTCCCCTGGACAGCTGGAAAATCATTCTGAAGCCTGAGCCCCACCCCAGAGGTTCTGATTGCTATAGGTGAGGTCTGGGCACTAGGATTTTTTTTTTTTCTTTTTTAAGTTCCCCAGGTAAGTTTAATAAGTAGCAGACTCTGAGGATCATCTGGCCGTCTTGCTGAAATTTTGCATTCGGGGGGTCTGGGGTGGCAGCCTGTGACTCTGCCTTCCTAAACTTCTCCTGGATGAACCCAGCGCTGGGGGTCCTCAGAACATTCTGAGCTGCAAGGACTTAGAGGTATCCCCTCTTGCCCCTCCTATGCCCCTGAGGAACCTCAGGCAAGCTGACCACACCCCTACCTCCAGCCACAGCTTTCTCCTCTGTGTTGGAAAACACCACTTTTCCAGGAGGCCCCAGAGACGTGCCCCGTTGACTTCTCAAGTGCCAACTGGGTAAGAGACATTACTCATGTCCCAAGAGACAGCTGCCCCCTTCCCCCTTTCCTGTAATCCTGTTCGAAGCAGTCCAGCTTGTACGCTGAAGTGCACCTGGATCACTGCATTCAACACAATGGTTTGTTTCTGCTCTGGTCCTTAAAGGGAGTAGGGGTCTCTTGCCTGCTGGCTTTTTGCATCGGCAGGTTGACCAGGGCCACCAAGACGCAGGGCCGCCCAGGGAGCCTGACTCTGTCCGGGGCCCACTGGCCTTGGCATCTGCCCTGTGAAGCTCTTCCGTGACTTCACACACACCTCCCCACCACGTAGCACTGCCCTTACTGTCCTTGCCGCGGACGGCGGTGGGACAGGGAGTGGATGGCACTCCCTCGGAAAGAGGCCAACAGCAGCACGCCACACCCGACTCCAAACCTCTGAGGGAGGCCACAGACTGCAACTGGCTACCCACAACCTGCCCCCAAGGGTCCCTCCCTGCCTCCCGCACCCCCCGCCCCACCCCTCCCAGTTCCTTCCAGACATTCCCAGGGATGCCTGGAGCCATACACCACCTAGTGGTTCCCAGCTCAACACCAGCAACAAGACACCTCCAACCAAGAGGGAAGAGCCCTCTCCTCCAGGACACCTTAGACTGAGGAACCGGGAAATAAAAGGCCCAGCAGGTGAGGCCGCAAGGAGACATTAGGCTGGAATACGTCCAGTCCCACAAACTCGCCACCTTCTCCAAAAAGTGCACCAGGAACGCAGGAGGCCATGCTGGAAAAGGCTGCCACACGCTACAGGAGAAGACCAGGGTGGAAAGGGAAAAATACCTGGAACGGGAATGGGATGTCAACACTTTATGAGCTAGAGCCCCCTCTTTGGCCAGAATAAGAATTGCAGGTTGGGGGAATTCTTGGATATTCTGGATGGGTCCAAAATCAAAGTGGAGTGATTTCAACAAAACAGGCCAAGTAGTCAAGAAATCAAACCACTGGGTCCAATTTCTAGAACCCTACCCAAGGCCAACACATCTACTGGACTCCCAATACTTTTAGGGGGCCCAAGAAAATGTTCTAATTCCTTTTAAAACCAGAATGAATAAAATGACAGTAATACGAATGCCTAGATAACAACGAATCCAGCCTGAATTCTATTCATCCTTGTATCACTGTAATTGTAAAATACAATATTTATTTATTTATTTATTTATTTATTTATTTATTTATTTATTTATTTTTGAGATGGAGTCTCGCTCTGTCCCCTAGGCTGCAGTGCAATGGCGTGATCTCGGCTCCCTGCAACCTCTGCTTCCCAGGTTCAAGTGAGTCTCCTGCCTCAGCCTCCCAAGCAGCTGGCACGAGCCACCACACCTGGTTAAGTTTTGTATTTTTAGTAGAAACGGGGTTTCACTATGTCGACCAGGCTGGTCTCAAACTCCTGATCTCATGTGATCCACCTGACTTGGCCTCTCAGAGTGTTGGGATTACAGGCGTGAGCCGCTGTGCCCGGCCGTAAAATACAACGGTTTTGTTTTTGTTTTTGTTTGAAACGGAGTCTTGCTCTGTCGCCCAGGCTGGAGTGCAGTGGCGCGATCTCGGCTCACCGCAAGCTCCACCTCCCGGGTTCACGCCATTCTCCTGTCTCAGCCTCCCGAGTAGCTAGGACTACAGGCGCCCGCCACCGCGCCCGGCTAAGTTTTTGTGTTTATAGTAGTAGAGACAGGGTTTCACCGTATTAGCCAGGATGGTCTCGATCTCCTGACGTCGTGATCCGCCCGCATCGGCCTCCCAAAGTGCTGGGATTACAGGCGTTATCCATCGTGCCTGGCCCGTAAAATACAATTTTTAATGTTTTATTTTTATAGAGGAAGGGGTCTAGGAAGACAAAAGTGTCAAAGATCATGAACATCATCATGTGGTTCTGAATTTACCTACTTTTTTTTCCAGTCTCCAAACTTGTCAGCCTTTACTGAAACCCCTTGTTGAATGCTCTTTCTCGGAGACCCCCACTTGAGCCAGGGGACCCACCCCCACCTGCCTGCCATAGGTTCATCCTTTTTACTCCGGGTTCTATTGAAAGTTTTCTGACCCACTCCAGGCAAGTTCATCCCAGGCCCCGGCACCCTGGGCCTGTTTCTGGACAAGCAGAAGCTCCAACAGCTGCCACCCCCGCCTGTGTGTGAGAAGTGCAGGCTGGCAGGATGGAGCAGCAACTCTGAAGGCCAAACACACACACTCAGCCCCCTGCAGCATAAACACGGAGCATACATCACACCCAGGCCTATAAAAGATAATTATACAATCTGATCTGGCAAATTAGTGCCACAGAATGTCTAATTCTCACAATGAGTTCCAGGGTTGGATCGGCAGGAAAAATTAACCTGGATCTTTATTGGGATTTGCCCCCAGGTCAGGATTAGGGTCTATTTATCTCCTTTATTTTCCTGTTGCAGGAGGGTGGAAGGCCTTCTCTCCTGCCCGCCCCTCCCCACCGCATCCAGGCTTGGCTTTTTGATAAGCAGGCTGCCCGGTGATCTTTCCCACACACTACCTGACCCAGCTCAGCTAAAATCAAAGAAAGCACCAACTAGGAGATATGTGTGATGTTTTTTTTTTTTTTCATAAGGAAGAGAAGTTCAGGTATCCCATATCAAGGGATTCACTAGTTGGAACAAACTCAATACAAGGTAAACAAAAGAATGAACATTTCCAGATGGCAATGTACCTCCTAATTATTCTGGCCCGGCTCTGAAATGTTTACTTGGAGAACACTCCCATATACACATTTCTCCAAACACCTTTTTCTTTCTTTCTCTCTTTCATTTGCTCTTCCTTTCCAAGGAGTCTTTCCAGAGGAGATAGTGATTAACAGGAGTCGGTGCTCATCTCGTATGCTCATTAAAGAGCTAGATCACCAAAGAATTGTTACCGCAACGCCAAGACAAGTTGACACCAAGCAAGGATTATCTTTCATCTAACAAAAACAAACCTGATGGCAGGCCGGCAAGTTTTCTCCTCTCTTTTACTGTCTTCCTGGGGGTTTCCCCTGCGGAAGGCTGTTCCCTATCCAACCTCCCAAGTCAGCCCTGCAATGACCACACACCCAGAGCTTGAAAGACAAGGCTCCGGTCAATATAGAGGGTTAGCATTCACCCTTTCAGCCTACAGAAAATGGGAGTCTGTCAGAGAAATAACGCACGCTTCCCTGCATCTAATACCCATGTGAGCTACTCACAAAATTCTTAAAAAGTGCCTCTCTCTGAGACTGACCTGGGTGAAAGAGAAACTGTGCTTTTCTAGCCTTACCAGTGGAGGGTTACGGTATTTTGCTCTGGCATGGGCACCAAACTCTTCCACTTTGGGCTAAGGTTTATCATATGTGGGCAACCTCACCCAAACAAATATATATACAAGGGTAGAGGTGTGTATGTGTGTGTGCCTACATGTGTGCATATATATATTTTTTTGTTTTCAAGGACAATGACATTATGGAAAAACAAACCAGTTCTACACAACTGCCTCTGACTTAAAGCAATGAAAATGTTGTTTTCTTGTGCCTCGCCCAGAGGGATTCTAGGTGACCCAGTGAGAGGTGGTGGAAAGAGAGACTGGAACGTGCAAACCTACCATCAGCTGGAGTGCAATCTTTGTAGAGTTCTAGCCAAATCACAAACTCGAGCTCCAAATTGGGGGAGACAAGCGTGTACTTTTTGCAAGGAGATAAACACCCACTCCCTGCAGGCTACATTGAGGAGTCTCACAAGGAGCTGAGAGAGAGCAAAGAAAAATATCCCTCTTCCTGAAGGTGAACACAGGAAGAGGCAGGCTTCATTCTGAACAGCCATCCATTCTAGGTGTGAATAGAGGCCATGGATGAGGAGTAAGAGAATGCTAAGGAGTCAGTAAAAATGCTGCAGACACAAGGCCAAAACAATCTCAGTATATTATCAAATGATCAAAATCATGTCACACGCATGGGTTCTACAGGCAAAGAGTTGCAGACTAAAATCTTAGTCTAGACTTTTTTTTTTTTTTTTTTTTTGACACGGCGTTTCATTCTTGTTGCCCAGGCTGGAGTTCAATGGCACAACCTCAGGTCACTGCAACCTCTGCCTCCCAGGTTCAAGTGATTCTCCTGCCTCAGCCTCTGGAGTAGCTGGGATTATGGGTGTCCACCACCACACCCGGCTAATTTTTTGTATTTTTAGTAGAGACAGGGTTTTGCCATGTTGGCCAAGCTGGTCTCAAACTCCTGACCTCAGGTGATCCACCCGCCTCAGCCTCCCAAAGTGCTGGGATTACAAGTGTGAGCCGCCACACCCAGCTTAGTCTAGACACCTTCTGGGTGTCCGTTTTCTCAACTGAAAAATGGGGATAGCTGTAGTGACTACTTCTTTCCCTTTGTAAACCCTCTACAACCATAACTGTTATTTTTATTTGAGGATGTAAAATATGACTATACTTTTTTCTATATTGCTTGTTTCTCTCTATATAATTAATTCTAAATTAAACTGTGTATTCAACTGCTTTGCATATTTCCTGCACTATAGCAAGTAATCCATAAATGTTAGCTATTGCTAATACTGTAAAAAAAAATTATAGAATTGCATGGGTTATAAAAGCAAACTTGGAGGAAGGAAGCAAAAGGTTAGCATTAGTTATCTCTGGGTAGTCAGTTTAACAGTGATTTGTTTTCCTATTTTTACGTGTCTAAAATAAACAGGCATTGTTTGATGAAGACCAAAGTGTCATGGTATTTAAAAGATAATAAAAATAAGATGGACATTCATTGTTTTGAACTAGAAATAAAACTATTAAGTGAACTTTTAAAAAAAAAACAGTAAAAACAGAAGCTACAGACTTGTTTGCTACATCAGAGATGGATCAGAAATCAAGGATAAAGAGTATCCCCAAAAGGGTACTCTTGGGACCACCGACATGACCCAAAGTGAGACAAGAGCCAGACACACCCAGATGGCAAGTGCTGCTGTCAATTACAGGGATGGGAGGACAGTTCTTTCCACTGAATGATACAGTCAATATTGGCTTGAATGTGAACGTGACAGAATCCTAACCCAGCTGACAGGCTGCAGGCCACAGGGTTGAACAGACCTGCTCTGTGGCATTTCCCAAATACCTGTGCCATTATAGACAGACGGTTCTCACAACACCCGCCTTTCGGTTCAGGACCTACAGCCCCTTGCACTTCCCTACGCCTGTTACACAAGCCCAGGCTGGGAGCAGAGGCCATGCTAGAAATACGGGGTCTGTGGCCCCCCATGAGCCCAGGAAAGCAAGAGTAGACTTGATCCTCAGATTCCTTCTGCTAACTCTTCAGGCCTCCCAGGAAGGTGGGAATTCAGGTGACAAGGGGGCCTCGCTCAGGTGCCCAGACCTCCGAAGCTCCCCCTTACTTTCTTGGCTCCCCTTCTTCCTCCCAGGTCCAGCACAAAGGGGAACCCGAGGC